TTAAGTAAACTTGAGCACATTCAAAATTGAAGGACATACTTTTTCGTTGAAATCAAGTTAAGAGTCCTGTTTATACATTAACGAGAGATTATGAAAATGTCCTTCATCGTTGAATAAAGGATAGGCAATTTTTGCAGAGGAAATTATTTTCATTAATAAAGTAGACAACAACTCGCTTTTTTTTTCCTTTTCTCAGTAATTTTTCAGTTTTTGTTCCCCCAACATTTTCAATGCAATCTGACTATATAACAACTCCAATATTTTGTCACTTACAACAACAATAATTGCTCCTTCATGCTCCCTTTGGATGTGTAAATTCCAGCGACGGATCGTTCGATACGTGAGATAATGATAATAATTGTTGAAATAAATATATTCAATGTTTAATTTAAGGTATTACTAATTTTGAAATTATTATCTCACTATTTATAATTCAATACCAACTAGCGGAACGTCCGTGTAAATTCCATCTCACGTAACAAACGAATTGATTGTACATGTATTGTATACATAAGGTATATTTGAAATGATTATTTTATCGACGTAGTTTAATATGTTATGGTGAGCCAAAGTTATATCGATATAACATCCTAAATTATTTTGGATTGCTAATTTTATATCAAATGTTCAAACCATAACATGGGATAAAATCATCTTGTATTTTATGCCAAAAACTACCATCCAATCCCACAAATGAAAGTGTATTTTTTGGTTCAAAACCATATTATATATCCTAGGATTAAAATCATAATTATAATCTTGGGATTATAATCAGAAAATCTATCTCACTTTCTATATGGAATAGATAATTTCATAATTATGGTATAAAATTTGTCCTAATATCCTCAACGAAATATGGAATAAATTGTATCATCATTTTATTAATTGGCCCAATATTTAAGCCCAAATTAACAACATTTGATCCAAGAATTAATTTCACAAATGACCTTCATAATGCGTGGTCTTGATTTTATTGACTTCGATTAATAATTTTTTTTGAGAAAATAGCTAACACGTCGGGCATAAATTGTTGAAAGAACTTAGTTTTTCCTACGAAAAAAAAGTTCGAGATATTTTAAGCCAGTAAACATGCTCAATCAACTACGAATTCTACCTTATAGGCATTGACCACGATATGTCAAGTTCTATCTAATAGGGAAACCCTAGAATTTGTAAGTAAAAGCAAGTTCCACCTTCTAACAAATTACATTATAGGCTAGAAGGCTCAATTATCTACTAGGTCATGTTATATCTAATCACCTTTCTCGATAAATTTTTTTTCGGCCCCAACATCTACCTCTCCTAACTCGTATTATAACCAACCGCTCACACCTTTTCTTCACATACATATCAATATCATCTTTGTCTTGTTTCCCTCGTTTGATTGTAGTCACGGCCTCACGGGAGCACCTAGCTAAACCCTTGCCCCATGGCAAACATGATGGTGGGCCAAACCTCAACTGAGTTTAAACAAATCTTACATCATGCAAAATCAAAAGTCTTCGATCCGATCCAAAACAGACAATATCGCATACGATCTAAACTTTTACATAGGTTGCTATCTAGTCAATTCAATTGAACATTTACATTGACTATGTGCCTTGAAAGAAAATGACATACATGTACCTTAAGGCAAAAAGTATTAGGACTACACTATAGAAGTCGTATTATAAGTTCAAATTTAGACCTAACTTTTAACATACATAGTATATCTGTATTCTATAACAAGACAGCTCATAATTAATACGTCAATATTTTCAAGATAACAAAGACTTTATCATTATGAAAATTATTCGTAAACGAATAAATTAATTCTTGTCGTATAAAAAAAGACTTTTTTTAAATATATTTGACTAAATTTGAATTCACGTATTCTGTTGCACATTTCTTAAGATGATGCTCTCAAAAAAAAAAAAATCATGCACAGATTCTTAAACCCGAAACTTTTAATTAAAAGTGAAGAAATCTCAAACTATCGTAGAACAACCCGTATTAATGTATCATCAACAATTCTAACATGAATTAATTATACTAAGAGTTTTGTTGCATTGACCCTAAAACCTAATTAAGGGAAAAGTCTTAAACAAGCAGCTAGCAAAAAAGAGGATATTCCGCCCTTTGTTTTTGTAAATTGTAACTTGTGATTTGGTTATCGTTCGAAGTTATGGTGAAACAGATAAGATCTTTTTATTTTTAATTAAAAAAAATTGTTTTTGAACCTTATGAATACGAAAAGATCTTTGATTAGAGATCGCTTTCTTATTTAATAAATTTTGTGTTGTACTTGACATAAGCGGATATATGAAGTGAATATATAAATAAGAACGTAATTTGTGGTTAAGTATTTATAAATATTCAACAAATTTATTACAATATTAATATATAATTGAGCAAAAGTTAACGAACTAATGTAAATCTAATGCTTTAAAGCTAAATTCGCCTCTAGAGTCTATAATAAATATTTAAATATTCAATCTTAATCGTAGATTTTGAGTTCATCAGAATAAATATCACGAAATAAAAAATAAATAAAAAGAAGAAAGGGGAGGTTAATGTACCTTCCCACAAAGGCCTAAACTTTCAACCCATGCTGTTGGGAAAAGAAAAAAAAATAATATGTGGAATTTAATGTCTCAAATTATTATGTCTATGTAATGATAGATTATTTTAACTTAATATTTTGCAAAATTTTCATCCATTTGTCATTTTTCATAAGGTATCAAAATTGAAACTTCAACATAATAATTTCATAGTTTTACTTGTCAAAAGTAAAATTCCACTTTTGGGTTTTATTATTCTCGCATTGGATATTTATTGATCCGATTGATTGTATCTGTATCTCGTAAAATTTATTTTTTTAAAAAATACGATTTATGAAGGATTTTCATTTCTAGAGTTTAAATTTGACACAGATTAAAAATCGAAAAATTATATTTTTGTATGTTACTGATTCAACTTAATTAAAGTAGCACTTAAAAAAAAAACCTATAAATACAATTTTTTAATTTGATTTACAGTGAGCACCTTTTGACCTTTTTAACTTCACTAAAAAAAACATTCTTAGAAAGAAAAAAGAAAACTTTTCCCATAAAGATTAATTAAATCACATAATATTTCTTTATTAAAAATAATTTAACTTTTCTTATAGCTGGCAAGTTCCAATAAATTATTCTCATTTTAATATTATCATCCACAAAAGAAAACAAAAATTGGTGAAGAAGTCAATGCATTCACCTCTCAAAAATCAAGATCTTTCAAAAAATAATTATCCTTATTTTAATTAAGATTTGAATTATATTATTGTATCCTATATATAAAAAGATTTTCCCAAGCTTCTAACCAAGAAATATCAAAATATAAAGAAGTAATCCTTAAAAAAATCAAGAAAATAGTATGATTTTCTAATGAATGATTATCGATTGATTCTTTTTGAATATACGTGACTTTAGCGATAGATCAGTAGTTTTAAATAATATTTATGATTATCAACTAATTATCTAGTGATTAAATAATATAAAATAAATTAAATAGTCAAGACTCAAAATTTAATTTTAATTAATTAATGAACCTAAATTATTCAACTTTGTTTTTTCTAAAACATATACAACAAAGACATTTCAACTTTATTGGATTTTCTTGGATGTTTCCCTATGAGGATTCTCTTTACATTTTGCCTGCAAAACATGACTTGATTTCTACTTTTTATTTTAATTATGTCTTTTGTTCCCCACTAGTGGATTATTTATTAAATCACATATAAATTATTCATCATTCATCACTAATTAGTTAATATATTTAAATTTGTCCTTATCAATAGGAGCAATCAGTGATAGAAATATGACATAGATCAGAGGCGGATTTAAAATTTAAAGTAATATGTAAATTTTACAGTCAAATATATATATATTTTAAATAAAAGTTAAAGAAAAATTTTCGTTATATTTTAAATTCGCTTGCGGATTGATAATCTTAAAGTTTAGCTAAAATACTTTTTATTTCGATGAGGCTTGTAGGATTTTACGTACATATTTTTTTTCTTCAAATTCTACTGGTGCGATTATATTGAATTTGTTGTTATAAGTTATATTTTAAAATTGATTGATGCAAATTGTGCTTATTTTCAAATCAAATGTCTTAATCAGTAGGGTCTGACTAATTTAATTTGTGGGAGAAAAAACTCGTGATTTAAATCACAACTTTTCCTTAAATAACTTTTATTTTAAAATCCTCTAATAAAGAAAAAAATATATATCTGCATTTATTGCTTAAATTATTTTTTTTTTCCAATTTAGCAGCCTTTCAATTCATTGATCAAGACAATTTTTTTTTAAAAAAAAACTTTAGACCATAAAAATCCAAGATTATATATACTTGACCAAAATTCAGATTTTTCTTATTAAAAAAAAAAAGGGAGAAAGCTACAAAACATGACAACACAACAAAGTTAATTACATTTTTATATATTATTAAAAAAATAAATGAGAAAAAACAAATAGGATATGAAATAAATTAAACTGTGCATATTTCATCATTGAAGTTTGAAAACACAATGGCTCCTCTAGTTTCCAAGAGACTAATAAGATATATATATTTTTTAGAGAAAAATATAATTTATATATCTACAATAATAATATTATGAAATTTTTGTATTCAATTTAGTTTAATCTATATAACATTTTATTTTAGGTTAGTAAGTAATATATACCACTAAATAGAACTAATTATTTGCAATAATCTTTGAGTGACCTAATTGTATAAATCTTTTTACATCATCGATATAAAACGTGAATAATTACGGTAAAATATGAATACTAACACAGGGCGATGAGTTTTAACAGAACGAATAAGAATTATACTATAACTGCGATTTAAGTTTTAAGAGAGATATAAATCTTAATGCATAGACATATCTGATATCTATCCTGATGAAAAGTAATCGATGAAATAGTCGATTTGCGATAAACTGATTCAAATAAAAGGGAAGTACTAACACATTACTTTTTCCAAATTGAAAAATGTTCTTATATTTGTCCATCAATAGTACATGATGACTTTTTCTTCTGTCTTGATCTCATGATCAAGCAAAAAGCTAGTGCTATTACAAGTACCATGATTAGTGCTAATTAGATCCTTAATCTCCTCCAAGCTACTATAATCTAATGGATTTTGTTGCTCATCAACATAACAACCACTAGCATTATTTCCACTAATCAACTTTTCTCCTTCACTAATAACACCATTGTTATTATACATATAGCTATGAAAATTAAAATTCGAAATGTCATAACTCTCATCAGAAGAGGTAGTACGACCCGCGAAAGTACTAGCAGTAATGCCTGAGGTACAACTAGTAGATGCACCCGCGCTTAAGAAACTTGTACTTGATGGGGTTGTACTAGGAATATTTGTTTCATAGCATGGGAAAGTTGTGTTGTTGGGATAATTTGATGAGATTAATAAAGATGAAGCTTGAACAAGTGAGGAATAATTATTGTAACAATTAGTGGGAATTTGGTGGTGATAATCATGGTGATTAAGAGGCCTAATCTTGTGAGATGAAGAGACAAATCCCATTAATTTCTTCTTCAGCTTCGTGTTCCAATAGTTTTTGATATCATTATCTGTCCTGCCTGGTAATTGAGCTGCTATGATTGACCACCTGCATATATTTTTTTTTATATCGAGATTAGCTTAATTATTTTTCATGACTAAATATTCGAGTACTAAATAACTAGACTTTAATTCTTGAAAAGTAATACTCATGCATGCAAAGTATATTTCTAGGATAATGCTAATTTAAATTTATCATTTCGAGTTTAATTTGAAATTATATCACATCCTATTTAGGTACGAAGTTAAAAGGAGGAAATTAAAGCGGTTCACTCGAATTATTTATAACTTGTTCTCAAAATTCCCGCTACTTAGAAATTGATTCACGATTCAAAGTTAATGTGTTTGAATTTTTAAGATTCTTAACAATCAACTCATCGTATTTTCGAAATTATGTGATTTATAATTTAATAGTGATTGAAATTTTAGTAGAAAAAAATATGTATATACCTGCTTCCAATGTTAGCATAAAGGCTGCAAATGATTCTGTCTTCTTCGTCTGAAAACTCTCCGTGTTTAATATTTGGCCTAAGATAATTTAACCATCTTAATCGACAGCTTTTTCCACATCTTCTTAGCCCTAATCACAAACAAATAATTCAAAAAAAAATTAATTAAAAGAAACAAATCAAGTATGTGTGAGTAGTTATAGTTCTACTTATAGATTCAATAAAATTCAGTACTTTCAATTTAAACATAATCTCGACCTTAACTCCAACTCAAAAGAGAAGAGAGAACAAAAATGAAACATAACTAGAAAAAGATCAATTCAATTCTACTTACGAATTCGATAAACTCAATACTTTCAATTCAAACAATTATATTTTTTTTATATAAAATTCAGAAGATCGTAAACTCAAAATCCCGACTTTTTAACTTATCAAGATACTCAATTAAATCAAACATACCAGCTTTTTGTGGAAGAGCAATCCAATTTCCACCAGTGCCAAATTTGTCAATATATTCTTTTAATTTTGCATCTTCTTCTGGTGACCATGGCCCTTTCTTCACATTTGCTTTATCACAACATGGAGCTCTTCCCATAATTATTATTATTATTATAATTTTTTTTTCTTGAGAAGAGATTTTTGAAAAAAAAAATGGACTAAAAGGATTGGCTTAGGAAAAAAAATGAATTTGGACACCAATATATATGTATATTTATTGAGAGATATATATCTTACACAAGTCAAAGAACACACATTAATTTTCAATTTTTATTAAAGTTGTCCTACACTAGTTGAGTGATTAGATAGACTAAATTTATTATTATCTACAAGGAGACACAAGTTTCCACCATAAAATATTTTTAATATAATCGTGTCCAATCATAGTTATTCACTATTCATCTGACGCAGATATTAAAAATAATAACAGATATGATATTAAATACAAGCGCAAAACAGATACAAAATGATAAATTATTTATTCCCTTGATTTTTATGAAATGGATAAATATTATTGAACAATCCAAAATAGTATATATGATAAATAAAGATGGACAAAGGGAGCGATACTTCTCTGGTCGTTTACGATTTTGATTTGATACGGAGTTTAAAACAAAAAAGAAAATTTTTAAATTTTGTGATCTTCAATCAAAGATATGTCTTAGCCTTGTGATATGCATTACAATTAAAAAAATTATCAAACAAACGACATTCTTTTTTAAATGAACTAATAGAAAAATAAATAATTGAAATGAAAGAAGCAATGTTTAGTGTGACGATTGTGTTTACTCTACTTTTAATCGATTTTTAAGTTTAACTTCTCTCTAATAGAAAAAATAATGTTAAAATCATCACCTTCATAATAAATTTTACATATAACATGATTTTAAATTTAGTCGAACTTCCGTAGAAAATAATAATAGAAACTTTATTTACTTAGGTATTTTTTTAATTATTCTTTTCAATTACAGTAAAAGGATCCAAAGTCTGCCTAAATAATGGCGTACAATTCATCAATTGAATATGATTGGTCATAGCCTTATATAGACTAATTATTAAAATTTTGAACCACCAAACAAAGTACAACAAATTTTCAAAACATAAAAGTACGATTTACGATTTTAACTTTATGAGTTTGAATTTAAAATTTTATTAAAAATAAAAAATATAACTTAATAAATTATATCGCATAAAATGGAACGTAAGAGAAAATTTGATTTAATTGAAAATTTGATTAATTAATAGCTGTAATACATGTGGGCGAACTTGTTAATCCAAGATTTATGGCAGAACTTGATAATAAGATTAGACAGACTATTTAAATAATAAAGAAATTTTATTAAATTACCATCTTATTTAAATAATAGTAATAATTATTGTTTTTTAATTATAGATCTTCCTCAAAATCATGAAACAAAGACCCTAGCAAATTGTATATTTATTACAACATATTAATCATTACAACTAATTAATTAGTACTTTGATCCTATCTAATTAGGTTATTTCATATTTGACTGACTATTATATTGACTGTACAAATAATAATAACACAGCATTGAAGATAAAAAGTAGTTGAATTTTACTCATTTTATTGTTATAGTGAATAAAATCCTATAAATATTACAATTAAATATTTATGTATGATCATTGGACTTTTAATTCTATACAATAATATTAACATTACAAAACTTTATCAATTATAACTATAAAAAGTAGCCTTGATGGACAACTTTTGTTGTTATAATGTGAAAAAGTTCATAAAAAAATATGAGAAAGTAATTAATTGTGTGGCTTTATTATATTATAGTGAATAAATTATAATGATTTTTTTTTGTTATAGTGAGAGAAAAAAAGTTAATTATTTTAACGTGATAAAAAATAATTGTGTGATTAGTCCATGGTTTGCATAAAATTAGTAAAATTAAGATAGTCAAAAGTATATGCTAATATTGCAGAAATTATTTAAAAATAAGTCAAGTACTACATATATTATTGGCTAAATTTTCTTGTAGAGATAGTGATGTACAAATATAGGCAGCCATGTGCTAATTAATTTTTCCTCTTTATCTCAAAATGTCATTTATGATGATGTTGAATTTATATCCAATAGGTTAACCCCCACCCCCCCCCCCAAAAAAAATTCAATTACCAAAACTATTTTTAAAAAATATGTAATTATTGTTAATTAGTGAATGATGGATTTATCAGAAACAATTTTTTATATTTTATTGATGATCTAAGAATGTCAAAAATTGAACCAAATAAAAAGTCATAATGTTCCACACTAATTAGAGTTTTATTGTGTATGCTAAATCATGTGAATATATAGTAGTAGCATAGTACAAAAATCTAGTAGCTTAGAAATATTATAACAACAATTATTAATCATCTTGTGTATCT